AAGAATAGGGGGAATCAAGATGGCGGAGGAGTGAATGGAAGTTACACTGGCCTCCTCCCAGGAACAACCTGGAATTACAACTAAATTGTGGAGAAATCACCTGCAACAAACAACTGAACAATAGTGAGAGAGGAGCCTTGTAACCTTGGAGACAGAAGAATCGGCTTTAGTGTAATCTAACTGGTAAGAAGTGTGGTAGAGACTCAAGGCGAGTGGGGCGCTCAAGGGCAGCAGTACCAGGTACTAGGAGGATACTGAACCGGCCAGTTGGGTCCCCCTGAGAAGAGCAAGGTCTAAACCAAAAGCAGGGATCTCTAGCCCACAGCACCAGAGCCCAAAAAGTACACAGAAAACAGCCAGCTGCGAAAAGTGGCCAGGTTGCCCTCTGACAGGGAAAGGTGGCTGGAAACGCAAAGAGCCTTCTAAAGGGCCAACGCATAAATTTTTAATTGCAGCCACTTACCTTGGTCTCAGCAAAGGCGGGGGAAGAATGGGCTAGATACATCTGAGAAGAGACTGGGGAAGGAGGCTTTGGGGAGAGAACTGAGAGAGTAGCTGGCAGGATCTTGGTGCGGACTCATCCCCCATAGGGCAGCAGCCATCTTGCTCAGGCAGAGACCACTCCCCTAAGCAGCACCAATGTCAGAGGACCCAATAGCCCCACCCCCAGGTAGGATTCCACCCTGCCCTGTGCTATCTAAGCTGCCTGCTGAGTGCACAGTGGGAGTCACAGATAGTAGATCCCTGGCTAAAAGGGGCGTAGAGAGGTCTGGAGACACTTGAAGAGAGTGGGGATGGAGGCTTTGGGGAGAGAACAGAAAGACTAGCCCGCGGGATCCCAGTGCTGACCCCTCCCCCACACGGCTGCAGCAAGAGACCCCAATAACCTGCCCTCCAGGAGGACTATGCCCTGCCCTGAGCTGTCTAAGGCAGCCTGCTGAGTGCAGAGTGACTACATTAACAGCTGAAGGAGACAGCCACAAACAGTAGATTCCTGGAAGTCTCGAACAGACTGCCTAATGTCAAACAGGGTCAACATCTGACATCATCAGAGGCAGATCCAGAAAGTAAAAACAGTGGTCTCCAACCATAGAAGTTAACACCACAAAGTCAGGAAATCAAGACAGATCAATTTAGGAATCAGAAGCAAAGAAGAAGAGTCTCGCAAATAATGGGAAAACAAAGAAATATGCCCCACTCGAAGGAAAAGGAGGAATCCCCACAAAGATAACTAAATCAAATAGAGGCGAGTAAACTCTCAGGTATTGAGTTCCAAACAATGGTTCTAAGGAAGCTCAATGAGCTCAGTGAGCTCAGAGAGAATTACCAAAAACCAAAGGGAAACTACGAGGAACTTACTGAAAACTCTATCAACATGAAAAAGGACACAGAAACTATCAATAAGAGACAAGAGGAAATGAAGAATACAATTTCTGAGTTGAAGAACCCAGTAGAAGGAATCAAAATCAGGCGAGATGAAGCCAAGGACTGAATCAGTGAGCCGGAGGACAAGGGAAAAAAGCTCCCAGAAAGAACAAGAAATGGAAAAAAAGACTCAAAAAGAATGAAGAGGCATTGAGGGAAATGCAGGACAACCTGAAACATAGTAATATCTGTATAATAGGGATACCAGAAGGAGAAGAAGAGGAGCAAGGGATAGAGAACCTGTTTGAAAAAGTCAGGATGGAAAACTTCTCTAATTGGAGGAGAGAAGAAGTCACACAAGTCCAGGAAGCGCAGAGAGTCCCATTCAAGAGGAACCCAGTGAGGCCCACTCTAAGACACATCATCATTAAAATGGCAAATATCAAAGACAGAGAATCCTAAAGCAAGTAAGGGAGAAAGAGGTAGTAACATATAAGGGATCCCCAATACGGCTAGCATCTGACTTCTCAACAGAAACACTGCAAGCCAGAAGGGAATGGCAAGAAATATTCCAAGTCATGAAAAGCAAAGGCCTGCAACCAAGACTGCTCTATCCAGCAAGGCTCTCAATTAAAATGGAAGGCGAAATAAGGAGTTTCCCAGACAACAGAAGGCTAAAAGAATACACCTCCACCAAACCAGCACTGCAAAATATGCTAGACTGCTTTAAGAAAATAAAGAAAAAGAGTCTATGAATACCCAGTTCCTTTCACAGTTGCCAAGACTTGATATTACCAATATTTTTCAATACGTATTAATCTGATTGTGACAATGTGTTATTTTCATTATTCCTGTATTACGTGGTGAAACTAAATCTGTTTTTGCATATTTCTTGCCTATTTCTATTATTTTTAAAAGCTCTAAATGACTTTTTGGTATTCTTTATCCTTTTTTTGATTAAATGTTTGTAGAATTTTTCTCCTAAAAAAAAAAACCATTAACACTTTATTAGATGTGTTGCAAATACTTTCCTATTCTATTACTTGTCCTTTAACTTTTTTTATATGTATATTACTGTACAGTCTAAAATGTTTAATATAGTCATGTTGTCAATATTTTACTTTATAGCTTCTGGGTTTGGATATTTTACTTCAAGGGTAAGAAAATATAATTTTGTATTTTCTCCTAAACTCCTTAGATTCTACAGATTGATTTTTAACTCACCTGAATATTTCTTGTATAATGTGTGAAATAGGGCTCTATATTTGTTTTATTTCAAGTATTAGTGGTCCATGCACCTTATTTGTTGAATAAGCCTATTTTACCCATTGATTTGAAATATCAATTTAATCATATATTACACTGATAGATATATACGTTTGTCTCTAGAATGCTCATTATATTTCATTGATCTACTTGATTATTTCTGTGCTGATGTCATGTTGGTTTTATTGCTGAGACTTTATAATGGTTTTAAATTTTTTAATATTTTATAATTAACTTTGACATTAAAAAATAAATAAAATCAATCTGCATTTAAGAAAGAAAGAAAAAGAAAGAGAGAAAGAGGTATCACTCCTACCTTTTGTGAAAACATGGATGGAATGGAGAATATTAAGATAAGTGAAAGAAGCCAGTCGATGAAAGACAAATACCATAAGATCTCATCCATAATTCAACAAAATAAACTAACGAACAAAATAAACTACAGTCATGGAAACATGGAGCAAACTGAAAGTGACCAGAGGGGATGGGGAAAAAGGACAACAGTGGAAAAAAGGGAAAGAGACTAGACTAAGAACATGTATGAATAACCCATGGGCAAGGAAAACAGAGTGGGAATTGACTGTGGGAGAGGGGGGAGATGGTGGGATGGGTGGAGGGGGGTAAAGGGGGAAAAATAGACAACTGTAATAGAATAAGCATGATTTATAAATTAAAAAAACTATTAAAAAATAAACATGTAAAAATAGGTACACAATTTTTATAAATAAATTTTATATCTAAATAAGAACTGATGGCAAAAAGAAAAGTAATGATGATAAATTTTGCTTAAAACACAAAAGCTGAATTGAATAACCAGACAATAAAAGCTTGTGAGGTAGAAGTAAATCCCTCTGGGTGTTTCTATCTTTCAGAGGAGGCTAGAGATGATTAACTTTAAACTTTGTTAAATCAATTACACATAATTACAAACTTAAAACTATTCAAAGGAAATATCTTTTTATTTTAATAGCCATTTGTTTATTTTGTTAGGTGACTTTTCTTTATAGTGATATAAAATCTCATTTAATTTATTTAAAATTTGAAAAAGAGCTAAAAATATTTAAATAATAATATACATGGTACAGAGCTATGGCAAATAATTTTATATGTTACAAGTGACTTCACTTTGGAAAATCAGAATAAAAATTTTTTTGAAGCATTATCTGCAAATAAAATACACAAATATATTTTTTCCAAACACCAAAAGAGACTTGCAACAGTCAAAATTCTCTTAACCAATGAGCTATCAATACATGAAAAGACAGGAAGGAAACTTAAATGCATATTAGTGAGAGAAGCCAATCTAAAAAGGCTGTTACATACTATATGATTCCAATGATATAACATTCTCGAAAAATCAAAACTATGGAGACAAAAAAAAATCAGTGGTTGCAGAGGGCAAAAGGGGGAGGAAAGAATGAATAGGTGGAGCACATGGAATTTTTAGGGCACGAAAACTATTTTGTACCATATTCCACTGGTGGATATAAGTCACTGTCTTACTTGTCAAATCTCATAGAGTGTACAGCACCAAGAGTGAATCCTAATGTAGACTATAGACTTTGGGTGATAATGTGTCAACGTAGGTTTATCGAGTGTAACTAATGTATCACTTTGGGAGCGGGGTGGGGGATTGATAGTGGGGAGGCGGAGACTGAGTTGGGAGAGGGAACATAAAGAAATTCTCTGCCCCTTTCATTCAATTTTGCTGTTAACCTGAAACTGCTCCAAGAAAAAGTTTTTTTAAAAATTCTCTTAACCATCTGCTTGCTATGTTAATCTATTTAACATAGATTAAATTTTCTGTTTTTGAAGGCACATCAAGAATTATACAAGCTAACATTTACTGGGCGCTTTACATAGATTTTCTTTTAATCTTACCGAAATACATATAATCTTCATCTTATAATTAAAGATATTGAGGCCAACAGAATTTATGTAATTAAGACAGAGAATTTAAACATGTTTATCCGATAACAAGGCTGGCTGGTTTGCTAGTAGTTTAATGATTCATTTTTGTTTTGATATCTGACTTTAAAATACCTTCAATTATGTAAAATAAATGTTTAATAACCTTGGAGTTAATTTTTGGGGCACTACTCTCCAGAAACGAAGTGTGGGTCTCAGAAACTACAAAACCTAGAATGCAATGCAGCTCCGGGATGTCCAGCAGCGGCTTGGCCCTTGGCATGCCGGGAATAGTAGTTTTCTGACCTGCCTCCGCACCTCCCCCCGCCCCCACCCCACCCCGCCTCCGCCCCGGCCCTCAAGCATCCAGATCGGAGTTTAGTTTCTACTCCCCGTGCCAGGCGCCTAAGGTAGACAGATTTAGCCATCCTCGCGCTGTCACCCCAGTCCCAGAAACTGACCTGGGTGCGTCCTTGATGCCCTGGACCCAGTCCTTGTGTCCCTGTCAGGAAGGACAACTCTATTCACCTCACACGCAGCTCCAGGATGCCGCGCTCCACAAAAGACGCTGGGGAGTCACAGCCCAGTTACCACAGAGACGGCGTTCCGTGGGTCACAGCGCGTGCGTGAGGTCAAAGTCAGTTAGCTTCCGGTTCCGAGATCCCGCTTGTTGTCAGAAAGTTTAGAGCTGTCGGTGACTCTCGCACCGATTTTCGGGGTTCAGAATTCGCTGGGAGTCTTCCGCTGCAGTCATGGCGGCCTCCACAGCCGCCGGAAAGCAGAGAATTCCCAAAGTGGCCAAGGTAGGGGATAGCGAGGGCCGTTGTGGGAAGGGCCTACGGAGAGGGGATTACTCCAGGCTCCGTGGTACCTGGGAGGTGTGAGTGTTCGAGCGCTAGGCCGACCCCGTGCGGGGCCGAGGGTGATAAGGAGGGGAAAGGATAGGCGGTAGTGGTATGCAGGTTCTTGTCACTCCGGAGCACAGCGCGCGTTGGCGTGGCCTTCGTTGCAGTAAGATGTTTTTGCAGAAAGGAGGAGAATAGGGATGTTTCAGGAGAGGTAACTTAGCCAGGCCGAGCGCTAGACGCTGCAGAGCTACACTATAATGTGGGCGACGAGCAGTACACAAATAAGACACAAGTGTAAAATGGCAACTTGCCAAATGCTACAGAGGCAAAGTAGAGTGTGCTATGGAATAATAGGAATTGTATGAGAAGGTGTGCAAAGTAAACTTTGCTGAGGAAGTGACATTTAAGCTGAGACTTGAAGGCTAAGTAGGAGTTAGCCCAGCTGAAAATGGAAAGAATGACAGCAGATGACAACAGTTGTGTCGAGATATAATTTAATTAAACAATAAGTTTGATATCTCATATTCCCATTGGTGGAAGACACCTAACAGGAGTTTCATATGTAACAGGCTTTGTCCTAAGTCTTTACAGTTACTCTCCTTCCAGTCTGTTTCTCCATACCAGATGACTCTCTTGAACCTGTTCTTTACATATTTATTTAGATAACGTCCAGATATTGCCTATAACGCATATAGCACAGTGTCTGATACTTAATGGTCATATTAGGTATGAGCTGTTATTGTTATCATCATTTCATAGTACTAAATAATTACTATTTCTTATAATTCCATTCCACAAACTTTTATTGGGCAGCACTGGTGCAGTAGAAATAATGTGAACTGCATATGTAAGTTTTCTTGTCTACATTAAAAAGTCAAAACAGGTGATAATTTTAATTACATATTTTATTTAATAAGTTGGTGTATCCAAGATACTGTCATTTCAACATGTAATTAATATAAAGAAATAATTAGGTAGTTTATTCTTTTTTCATACTAAGTCTTCAAAATCCACTGTGTATTTTACACTTACAGTCCATCTCAATCTGGACTCACTACATGTGACTTATGGCTAACATATTGGACTGTACAGCTCTTGAGACCTCAGAAGCTTATAGCAAATGATAGCAACTTAACCAAATGTTGTCTTTGACATGCAATGCCACGAAAAACCAAATGCAGTTACCCACCTACAACATTATCATCCACCTGGGGCCCAAGTTGAAGAATTCTGTAAATAGAGATTATGGTGCTAGATAAGATATGGTATATGTCTTGATAAACAAAACCTCTGGTGAAAGTTTTACCTAGGCAGCCTCCAATTTTTTTATTTTACTAATACAAAAGGGAAATTTTACTATTTTTGCTATGTTTTCTTTTGAGACTTTTACCAATAGCTCGTTAATAGATGTCAGGTATAAGATAGAAAACATTTTTTGCTATTCAGTTGCACAGAGAAATGGGAACATGTCACACAAAGAGGGCAGGTGGTCACAGAGTTGGCACCCTAAAAAATGATTGTTTGTTTCTTAAACTTTGTGTGAAGAGCATCTACTAAAAATGGAAATGTCTTGTCATAAAAGGTAAAAAACAAAGCCCCAGCCGAGGTACAGATAACTGCCGAACAACTTTTAAGAGAAGCTAAAGAAAGAGAACTTGAGCTTCTTCCACCTCCACCTCAACAGAAGATCACAGATGAAGAAGAGTTAAATGATTACAAACTAAGGAAAAGAAAGGTCAGTCAATGTGATGTCTCAGCACGTTAATATTCTTGATTTATAGGTCAGAGTTTGAAAAGTTCCTAATTGTTGACAGACTATAAGATGAGAAGAGGTTAGTGTTTCTAGCCACATAAATATTTTAACTTCTGGTTACCAGGTAACTACTTCTTAAACTTTATGAAATATGCCATGAGTTGTCTGTTTCAGAGTGTAAGGAAATTTAAGTCCACCAGAGACATAATTATTGGTGTTCAATCAAAGATGGGTTAGAGTTTAACAGGTGGAACAACTGACAATGGAGGAAGGTGTACTTTACAACTGTGTTCTGTGCTTCTTATCTCTGTACCACCACCTGTGTTAAGAGTTAAGATGTGGGAAAGTGGATTGGGAATCTGACTTGACCTTCTCACTCTAGAATGTGGGATTATTTTTAAACCACTAATTCTGTTGTATCTACTTACTAGTTATTCTCAATGAATTACGTATGAACTTCTGTTACATTACCAAAAAGACTTTGTCAAAAATGTTTTCTTATTAGAAACAAGTAGAGCATATTACAGTATCATTAGTTGTTTTGGGCAATAAGAGAAGATATCAACAACTCTGCTAATAATTCTTTATATCTAAAGTTTTCCTCTTATTTGCATATAAGACATTAAAAAAAATACCTGTAATTGTCACCTTCTGTAGTGGGTTTATTATTTCTCAAGGATTCCAGGATGTAATGTCTCTTTAAAAACAAAATGAGTAATAACCTTTTTAGTGCAGAATTAAGAGACAAAGGATTATGTTATTTTTAATTATTTTTTTCTTTAATTTGAGCCTTTTTGCCTTCCCAGACTTTTGAAGATAACATAAGAAAAAACAGGACTGTGATTAGTAACTGGATAAAATACGCACAATGGGAAGAGAGTCTAAAGGAGATTCAAAGGTAAAATTGCAGATCATGTACTTTTGTACATAAGGATGTTGTAAGTTAACAGATAAAAAAGAAGAAAAAGTTAAAGCACAAATAAAAGACTGTGTCTCTGTTAGTAATTTTCACAGTATGTTCCACAGAGCCCTGAGGTTCCTTTGAGGAGCCTCAGTGGCACTGTGGTAGGCTAGTTCTGGGGGGAGCAGAGTATGAGGCTGTACAGGTGGGTCTCACCACCAGTACACTATCTACAGCCAGAGAAGTGCAGTTTCATCTGCTTTCTCTATATTGGCATTTTTTTAATAAAAACATCTTTTACTGAAACCAGTAGCCGATTACAATCATGACCTGGCCCTTTCTATTCTTCATTCTTTCTGCACTCTCTCTGCATGTCCCCTGCCCCCACTGTTCTGCATACTTGCTGCTTCGTGAACACATCTTCTCTCCTTACTGTAATACTTGGCTTTTCTCTCTACCTGGAATGAGTACCCACCCACCTACCTTGGCCTCTGGTACTTTCCTCAAGTTCCAAATTTGTTCTCAGTTCTGGAGTTAGGCTACTGCTTAGGCTTTTCCACCAAACATGTTTATTTCTTTTCCCCTGCTTCCTTGTACAGATCTTGACTATAATGTTTATTACATTGCATTGTAATTACATGTGTGTCTGTCTTTCCCTAAGTCTTTATAAGATTCCTGAGAACAGCATCATATCTCTTCACAGAACCTGGCTTTTGGTGGACACCTTATAAAATAGCAGGGCACTGCAGATGGTTTGAAATAGTTGCTAATCTGTTATATGTACTGCTTTTAATGCCCTCCAAATCTTGCTTCTTAAGGGCCCGATCCATATACGAACGTGCTTTAGATGTGGACTATCGAAATATTACACTCTGGCTGAAATATGCAGAAATGGAAATGAAGAATCGCCAGGTCAACCATGCCCGAAATATCTGGGACCGCGCCATAACAACTCTGCCTCGAGTCAACCAGTTCTGGTAAGTTTCTGATGTAGTGAAAAGGCTTTTTGTAGACTAGAAAAGTCCCATATTTGTATATTTGTTTCATTTACATAGTGTAATCATACAGATGTACTCGATTTTATACATGTAAGTATGTATAAGTGCTTTTGAATGTCCTGTAGTCTATTGAGTCATAACCAATGTATAATAGCTGTGTAATCAAAACTAAAATTTTGATTGCAATCTTTTATGCATAAGAAAGTTCTTGTTGAATTACACAATTTTTTTTTTTAAATGAGGGGAGCCAGAATTGGGACCTGAGGCCATTTTCAGTGATTCAGAAAAGGACTGGCTGAATAAGCCATAGTGTCTTTAATTAAGCTTCTAGCAAAGATGGAGGCATAGGTAGATACATTTTGCTTCCTCACACAACCAAAAGAAGGATAACAACCAATTTAAAAACAAAATACCACACAGAACTGCCAGAAAATCAAACAGTACGGAAGTCTGACAACCAAGGAGTTAAAGAAGAACCATTCATCCTGACTGTGCCACAACATAGCAAAGTGGATTCCCCCTCCCTGGCAAATATCTAAGGCTCTGCCCCTTACAACATAACAGGTGCACCAAGACAGACAAATATGGCCCCAAATAAAAGAACAGATCAAAACTCCAGAAAAAGAACTAAGTGACGAAGAGATAGCCAACCTATCAGATGCAGAGTTCAGAACACTGGTAATTGGGATCTGCACAGAAATGGTTGAGTATGGTCACAAAACAAAGATCAGAAGGCTACACAAAGTTAAACAAAGAAAGATATATAGGGAACCAACAGTGAAGGGAAGGAAGCTGGGACTCAAATCAACAATTTGGAACAGAGGGAAGAAATAAACATTCAACCAGAAAGGAATGAAGAAATAAGAATTCAAAAAAAAGAGGAGAGGCTTAGGAACCTCAGGGACAACTTTAAATATTCTAACATCCAAATCATAGGGGTGCCAGAAGGAGAAGAGGAAGAGCAAGAAATTGAAAACTTATTTAAAAAAAATGAAAGAAAACTTCCCCAGTCTAGTGAAGGGAATAGACAAGCAAGTCCAGGAAGCTCCAAGAGTCCCAAAGAAATTGGACCAAAACAAAGAGGAAAACACCAAGACACATAATTAAATTACCCAAGATTAAAGATAAGGAGAGAATCTTAAAAGCAGCAAGAGAAAAGAAGAATTATCTACAAAGGAATTCCCATGAGACTATCAGCTGCTTTCTCAGAAGAAACCTTATAGGCAAGAAGAGGCTGGAAAGAAGTACTCAAAGTCATGAAAGGCAAGGACCTACCTCCAAGATTACTATATCCAGCAAAGCTATCATTTATAATGGAAGGGCAGATAAAGTGCTTCCCAGATAAGGTCAAGTTAAAGGAGTTCATCTCCACCCATCCCTTATTATATGAAATGTTAAAGGGACTTATCTAAGAAAAAGAATATCAAAACTATGAACAGTAAAATGACAACAAACTCACAACCATCAAAAACTGAACTTAAAAAAAAAATCAAACTAAGCAAACAACTAGAACAGGAACAGAATCACAGAAACAGAGATCATAGGGATGGGGAGAGGGGAGAATGGGGGTACAGGAAATAAGCATAACTGGTAGATACAGAATAGACAGAGGTAAGTTAAGAAAAGTATGGGAAATGGAGAAACCAAAGAATTTATATGTATGACCTATGGACATGAACTAAAGGTGGAGAATGTTGGAAGGAAGCAGTGTACGGAGGGAGGAAGATAAAAAGGAAAATAAACAGGACAACTGTAATAGCATAATCAATAAAATATACAAAAAAAGAGAAAAATGTATTTTTATCTAGTGTTTCATCTTTTACAGACTTATATTTTAATAAAATATGTTTGATTTAATCTTTAGGGAAGATGTCTTAAATCTTCACATTTAACAGAACTAGAAATCACCAAAGAACATTTTTTTCCTAAGTTATTTTTTAAAATAATTTTTTTAGTTTTCAATTATAATTGACATAAAATATTATATTGGTTTCAGGTATACAACCCAGTTATTAGACATTTATGTAACTTACAAAGTGATCCCCCCAATAAATCTAGTACCCACTTGACACCATACATGGTTATTACAGCTTTTTTGACTTTCCCATACTCTACATCCAATTGTAACTACCAATTTGTACTTTTTAATCCTTTCGCCTTTTTAACCCAGCCCCGCAACCTCTGGGAACCGTCAGAATGTTCTCTGTATCTATGAGTCTGTTTCCATATTGTTTGTTGGTTTATTTTGTTCTTTAGATTCTGCATATAAGTGAAATCACCTAGTATTTGTCTTTCTCTGTCTAACTTATTTTACTCTGCACAGTACCCTCTATGTTCGAACATGTTGTTGCAAATGGCAAGCTTTCATTCTTTTTTACAACTGAGTAATATTCCATCATTACATGTACCACATCATCTTTATCCATTCACCTATTGATAGACATTTAGGGTGCTTCCATACCTTGACTATTGTAAATAATGCTGCAATAAACATATGGATGCATGTCTTTTTGAATTAGTGTTTTGGGTTTCTTCAGATGAATACCTAGCAGTGGAATTGCTGGGTCCTTCTTTGTCTCTTGTTATAGAGCCTTTGTATTAAAGTATATTTTGTCTGGTATAAATATTGTGACCCCAGCTTTTCTTCTTTTGTTTCCATTTTTATGAAATATCTTTTCCATCACCTTCAGTCTGTGTATATCTTTGTTCTGAATGGAATCTCTTGTAGAGAGCATATGTATGGGTCGTTTTCTTATCCATCAGCCACCTGAGTCATTTTGACAGTGACAGGTATTTTTGGATGATTTTGTTAAAGGTACAAATACACATACATGGAGGAGATGCTGGGAAACATTGCTGGTGCCCGGCAGGTGTTTGAGCGCTGGATGGAATGGCAGCCTGAGGAGCAAGCCTGGCACTCCTATATCAACTTTGAGCTGCGATACAAAGAGGTGGATCGGGCCCGCACCATTTATGAACGATATATCCTTTGGATGAAGCCTGAGTGATGCCATTATTGGCCTGGGTTCTGTTCCTTCCATGGAAATGTAGTCATAGTCAGGACACGTCATTAATATTGGCCTAGAAGTCAGGGATGCAAATTTCATCTGCTTCATAAGCTACGTGTATACTTTCTAGAGACTTACATTGGTCAGGAAAAACATTTGTGGTCTGGATGATTGTTTGAGTCTTTTCCAGTGAGATTTTGGGTTTGTTTATATTTTGGCAGTATGCTATAAATGACACACTAAGAAGGCCCAGGCTGTATAGACAGTTCTATTTTTCTAGGGTTTATTTTGGTCATTAGCACCATTATTGGGAGTTCATCCAGAGGTTTACTCTTTACTAACAGTGGTATCCCAATAAGTCATTTAATTCCTTTGAGCCTTGGTGTCCACATCTTTAAAACAAGAATAAAGATTTATACTATGGGCTGGTTGTAAAGATTAGATGATCAGTTGAATGCAGTCTTAGCAACTAAGTAGTCTGTCCTCATTATTCACTGTTTCCATATTTGTGAATTATCCTACTTGCTAAAATATTTGTAGTCCCAAAATCAGTATTTGTGGCACTTTCACAGTCATTTGCAAACAAGCACAGAGTGATGAAAAATTTGAGTCACCCAAGACATACGATCCCAGCTGAGGTGACAATATGCCTTCTTGTCTCTGCTCTCATACAGGGATGACCAGAGGATAGAACCTGGAGACATGATAAGACAATGCAGTGTAGTGCAAAAAGCTTTGGCTGTGAGGCCAGTTGGATGTGTTTGAAACCCTTTACTGGCTCTGGTTTGTGGGCAGTCTCTGGCAAGTCACTTAATGCTTCTGAAACTTTTCTCTTTGTGAAATAACAAAAACAGAATCTAAGGATTAGTTGTCTTTAGGATTTAAGATTATAATTTATATGAGATATATATATATACCTACATATTTCCCCTAGAGCACGGTGACTTCATAGGATGTAACTAACACAAATGATGAGAATCAACTTCAGTATGCAATTTTAAGATCTTAATTACCTTTATTCATTTTAATATTATTAGTTTAACAAAAGCTTTTATAGCATTGCTATGTATCAGGCATTGTTCTAAGCACTTTACAAGTATTGTTATTTAATCCTCATGACAACTCTGTGATACAGGGACTATACCATTCTACAAATGTGAAAACTGAGGCCTGAGAGATAAGTATTAATAGCTTGACCAGGGTCTCTCAGGTAGTGGTAGATATAGGATTTGAACCCAGTAGTAGCTTCAAAGCCAATGTTCTTAAAATTATTGCCATATTTGAATATATTACTGATAGAAATTACTGATTTCCTCAAAGAAGGTAGATTAAAAATAGATAGGTATACCCTATTAAGAAATAAAATGGTAATTCAAAACTTTATCTTTTGGCTCTAGTTAGCAGTTTCTTTTTGTGACCTATTTTTTCTTAATCATTAATTCAAATACTAATGCTATTGAGAATTTAGTGTGACAGTTACCATGATCGAGCATGTTCTTTTGGCCAGAAACAAGAGCTTTTCATATATTTTTTCCATTTAAAGATAGCAGTCATCCAGTGAGGTTTGTTCTGTTTTTCTCTGTTTACAGAGATTAAAACTGAGGCTTAGAGAAGCTAAATGGCTTGTGTAGATCACATTGCTAGTAACCAAGGTCTCCAAAGTCCTATTTGTACCACTACTAAAATATTGAATAAGCACTGGAGGAAGACACACCTCCTCATGAAGGTCATAGATTAGTGGTTCTCCATCTAATGGTTTACCACCCCTATAGTCATAGCCTATATTGTTGTGGTTTTCAGTATTGTGAGTTTTTGTTTTTTTGTAAGCCACATTTTTAAAATTTAATTTTTATTTTATTTCTTGCATTACCATTTAGTCCCCTTATAACCCTTCCCCCCCAGCAATCACCACATTGTTGTCTATGTCGATGAGTTCTTTTTTCTTTTTGGCTCGATCTTTCCACCCCCAACTCCAGCCCTGCCCCGCCACTGGCTGCCAACTAGCAATCATCTCCTCTCCATCTATGAGCCTGTCTCTGTTTTGCTTGTTAGTTCAGTTTGTTCATTAGATTCCACATATGAGTGAAACCATATGGTATCTGTCTTTCTCTGACTGGCTTATTTCACTTAGCATAATGTTCATCCATTGTCGCAAAGGGTAAAATTTTCTTTTTTACAGCTGAGTAGAATTCCATTGTGTAAATATGCCATAGTTGTTTTATCCACTCATCTATTGATGGACATTTGGGCTGCTTCCATATGTTGGCAATTGTAAATAACACTGCAATGAACACAGGGGTGCTTATGTTCTTTCAAAGTAATGTTTTGGGTTCCTTAAGACCAGAAGTGGGATCACTGGATCAAAAGGCAGATCCATTTTTAATATTTTGAGGTATCTCTACACTGCTTTCCACAGTGGCTGCACCAGTCGCATTGTCTTGCTCTTATTTCTTTAATTCCCCTGCACTTGTACTTGTGCACCCTGATGTTAAGAACTGGATCAAGTATGCCCGCTTTGAAGAAAAACATGGTTATTTTGCCCATGCTCGTAAAGTGTATGAGAGAGCTGTCGAATTCTTTGGAGATGAACATATGGATGAACACCTTTATGTTGCCTTTGCCAAATTTGAAGAAAATCAGAAAGAAGTAAGTAAACTTCACTCACTTATATTGCAAAACAGCTTAGAAAAGATCACTTCTTGTGCACATCAAATTCATTTCCATTTTCTTACTGTTGATGAAAATGTTTTCAAAATACAAAAACATCAAAGAAAGCAGCATACATTTGTTGCTAAGATGCAGATTGGGAGCTGAGTGGTTATAGATTGTATCACAATTGTCTTAATTTTGTTGTGCTTTGCTTGAGAAGTAACCTTTCATATCTGGAGTAAGAATGTTATCTATAAACTGAGAATCACTTGGTGTCCTGATTGAAGGGCTTTAAAGATAATAAACCTGGGAAACAAAAAGTCTAGGGCCCTCAGAATAGAGAATAGAATTTGAAATGAAAACATGCTGTCCTACCGGTAATTCAGTTCTTTTCTCCTATAGTATGTATGGAAAATAATCCCTTAAGGTAGCTCAAATAATGCAGAATTGAGAGAAGTAGGCTAAGGTCTGAAAGCAGGATCTTGCACAGGTCATAGCAGGGAGTTCAGATTCTATTCTGAGGGCAGTGGGAAGATTTGAACTGTTTTAGCAGGAGAAAACCTTGGTAGAATATAATTTATATTGTAAGGAGAGCCTCTAGCTAATTTATGGAGATTGTATTAGGAGAAGGATAGCAAAGTGGAAGAGAGGAGACTTTTGAAATGGTACAGGGAAGAAATGGAGACAGGTTGGCAGGGGAATGGGGAGAAGTGAAGGGCTATGTTGAAGGGTTAGAAATGGCAAGGCTTGATGAAGCAGTGAATGTGGGGAATGAAAGGAGAGGAACCAGGGAGGACTCCAGGGAATTTTAGCTTGAACAAATGTGTGACAGTAGTTATTGCTCAATCAAGTTTGGGAGGACTGCTGTGACCAGTGTGGTTCAGTGGGTTGGTTCAGTGGGGTCTGCAATCCCACAAGGGGGAAAGGTCACCACTTCGATTCCCAGTCAAGACATGCCTGGATTGTAGATACTGTCCCCAGTCAGGGCACATATGAGTGGGGACCAATCAGTGTTTCTCTCCCTCTCTTCCTCCCTCCCTCCCCCTCTCTCTAAAAATAAATAAAACCTTTAAATATATGTATATTTTATGTATTTATATATTTAATATATAAATATAATTTTTTTAAAAAAGATTGGGAAAAACTTGAGTTTTGTGGAGAGAAACAGGAGCTCAGTTTGGGACCTTTTAGTCTGTGATGCACAGACAACATCCATCTAGCAGTATTGGGTAGACAGCATTAACTGTGAAACTCAAAGGAATGTCAGTCCTTCTTGATTGAAATACGTCATCAAAAGGGAGAAGAAGAATCTCATTTTGGACATTTCGAGGCTTCAAAATCTAACAAGTAATGTTTTATGTTGTAACTACTTTCCTAGTTGTGACTAGAATGAAAACGTTGTATATGGCAGATAAAATCATCCTGTCTGCTTTTAGTTTGAAAGGGTACGAGTGATCTACAAGTATGCCCTGGATAGAATTTCAAAACAAGAAGCCCAAGAACTCTTTAAAAATTATACCATCTTTGAGAAGAAGTTTGGTGATAGGCGGGGTATTGAAGACATCATTGTAAGCAAACGGAGGTTCCAGTATGAAGAAGAAGTGAAGGTGAGTGCTGGTGTATATACTTAATTCTACAAGTAAATAAGATGTGTCAGCCAATACTAGCTACAATAAAATGAATAATAGCAAGTTAGGGCTACCTGTGATTAATTACACTCTTGATGATATGTCTGCAGTATAATGGACCACATTCCAGACAGGTCAGAATAATTGAGGCTGATAGAAAAGGCAAGCAAACAACACTTGGATTTAGTCTGCTACTCATGTGTGAAAGTTAGTTTGATTGCTGATTGTGTGCTATAGAAATTGAGCTAAATAAATCTGGAATCCATTTGAGCTTATTTTTGAAAGAAGGTGGAAGAGTCAGGGATTGGTTAAAAAAAAAAACAGTTTTTATACATTACCTTTTAGCTAACTTGTATGAAAGATGTGATGTAGACATCGTTCTTTTCTCCTTTCTTTGCTTGTCATTTACTGTTTTGATTTAAATTTAAAGATGGTAACATATTCAAGATATCTACAAAATGACTTGACTCTCATGTTAAATGAGGTCAGCAAGACATCAAGATAAATTACCAATAACTGAAATGTTAGGTTTCACAGTTGTGAGCATGGTTTAATTCTATTGTAATTTTGTAATTTTAAATCTAAATGTAATGACATATAGTCATATATATTAAAAAATACATTTATAAAATTAAGCACCTAATTATTGAATAATTATCTTGGGATTGGTTATGCAAGGGGCATTGCTGTGTGACACCTGGCTAATAATGTCCTCTATACAGTGGTTCCTGCCTTTCTGAGGTTTTGCTTTCCTCTGTTTTTATTACCCACTGTCAACCGTGGTCCAAAAATATTAAGTGGAAAATTCCAGAAATAATTCACAAGTTTTAAATTGCTTACTCTTCTGCATAGCATGATGAAATCTCAAGCCATCCCACTCTGTTCTGCCTAGAATATAAATAATCCCGTCATTCAGCATCGCCACACTGTACACTACCCACTTGCTGGTCACTCAGTAGCTCTCTTGGTTATCAGATCAACTATCACAGTATCGCAGTACTTGTGTTCAAATAATGCTTATTTTACTTAATAATTGCCCTAAAATGCAAGAGTACTTTAAGTTTTATCATAGATATGTGTATAGGAAAAAATATGTATATGTATATATGTGTGTGTATGTGTATATACACGTGTGTGTGTGTGTGTGTGTGTGTGTGTGTGTGTGTGTGTGTATTAGTATTAGTACCATCTGTGGTTTTGGGCATCCACTGGGGGTCATGGAGCATATCCCCCACATATAAAGGGGACTATTATATTCCTTATTTTCTATTTATAAAATCTCAGAAATGATACTTTTTTAAATGTGATAGCATGTAAAATCTAGAGAAAAAGTTGCTAAAATATAGAAAGTCAGTGGTCCCTTCTTTCAGCTCACATAGTCCAGCAAGTATAGCTCTTGCTTTTGTTTTTATTTAAATGTATTGTCTTTGTAGGCTAATCCACACAATTATGATGCATGGTTTGATTACTTACGCTTGGTGGAAAGTGATGCAGAAGCAGACACTGTACGAGAAGTCTATGAAAGAGCTATTGCCAATGTCCCACCCATTCAGGAGAAGAGACATTGGAAGCGCTACATCTATCTTTGGATCAACTATGCACTCTATGAAGAACTGGAGGCAAAGGTAAAGAAGTGGAATTACGTGTCAACCAGTAATGATTTCCTCACCCCTGTGCTTAAAACTTGCTGTTGTGTGTAGTAACTGATATTTATTATCCTTGGAACAGGAATTTAGTTTTAGATTCTTACAGCCTTCCATTTCAGTTATATAGTTAATATATTCTCTCTATAACATTTTAAACTCTCTGTTTTGAGCTCAGGTGAGGGTTTTTTTTGTTTGTTTGTTTTTGGGTGGGTTTTTTGTTCGTTTGTCTATTTTTCCTTTGTTGTATTTTGTTTTTTAAACCTTGAGGCACAACAAGATTATCACTTGGAACTTGAAAGGGAACCAGCCGTTAGTTTAATCGTACATAGTTTCCTGGGTTTTCTCATAAATAGGAATACTGGCGAGATTGCATGTCCTTGCTTTTACTAAAGATCAAGTGGGATTTTCAGAAATTGGTCATGTATTAGTTAAGAGACAAAGATGAACTTTCTGCTATTAATCTGAGACCATAAAGGATTTTTGTTTCTTTCTGCTATCAGGCAAAAAGCCTTTCTACAGAGAAGCTCTCAGAATTTGATGGCTATATTGTTGGTGATTCTTAAACCAAAGTTTGATGGCCAAAGGTAGTTCACACTTTTGATTATAAATGGAATCAGGGTTTGAAAATAGCAACTTGTGAAAACATTCAATGTTGGGGATATACATTTTTTACTAGTATTAGTAAAATAAGTAATAAAATAATATTTGCAACAGTCTTCAATATTTTGTGAAAATTTCTTAACCTACTACAGGATTCTGAGAGGACAAGACAGGTGTATCAAGCCTCTTTGGAACTAATTCCTCATAAAAAGGTACATTTGCTTTAAGTGCTTTCTATTCCAAAAGTCAATACCCTGTTTCTGTTACTTGTGAAATAATATTTATTGATTGACATTTTCCCAGTGGTAGGCACCATGGAAAACATGAGATACACCCTTTGCCTCTGAAAATAGCCTGTAGTCTAGTTGAGAGGACAACCTGTGACAAATGAATAATACAAATAGCAATATAGTAGAAATTCAGAGGAGGATGGGTAATTGGAACAGACTGAATGGGTGGAGGAAGAGGCACATCTAGAGAGTACATAGCATGTGAAGGAAACAACGAACAAGTGTTTGTTGGCAGCTGAGTAGAGGTATGCATGCAAGGGTGAACATGTGTGTATTCTGGCAGTGGTTGAGATGTTAACTCTGCTGTATTTCCCAGCACAAGAAACAAATAGAAATGGTGACTGAGTTACTGTCTAGAATAGAGGTGGCATGTTCTGCCGACTCAAAAGCATACCCAAGGTCATGTAATACTATATAGTATATAGATTAATGTTGTTTTTTGTTTGTTCATTTTGTAATTTGTGAAAGAAATTTTGTCATCCTTGCTTTTAAAAAGAAAATGCATCTGTCCTAGCTCTGAAGTTTTAGGGAAATCTAATTGCCCATGGCCTTTTGTTAAATTTAACTTAATTCAATTTAATTTAATTGACTCTCTTAAGCTAGATGTTGTGCTTTTCTTTTCCAGTTCACATTTGCCAAAATGTGGTTATTATATGCCCAATTTGAAATAAGACAGAAAAATTTACCATTTGCCAGAAGAGCTCTGGTAAGTAAAGAAAGGAATGAGATGCTCCCCTAAGTTCTATGAGAAAGAAATTAAAATCTTAGTGCTTACAAGTAGTGCAGTTCTTAATAACAAAGCATCAGAAATATCCCTTTAAACACTGAGACATGTTAGAAAACCCATGGCCTTTGAAGAAATATTTGGTGATATGCTTAAATTGTTCTACAGGGTCTGGTAGAAGTAAGGCCTGCTGGAGTGTGGTTGGTAGAATAATAATATGGGTGTAAGGACTTACAGTTTTAATTTGAACATTTCACCTAAAATGTCACATGGTGTGCTTGAGTGTGATATTGTTGTTACAGAATTACATGTGAGTTTGTAATAAAAGATTTTGTAATAAAAAGGGGTATTATTTGTGCCAGACCCTGTATTTTTTTAACATTGGAAACTTTTTAACTACCAGTTACCAGATCATTCCTCACACTAAAAGGATCTGCTCTTAGATCTGATATTTACTAGTCTGATCCTGTACAGAACTTTTGTTGTATTAAATGCACTTCCCTCTTAACAATACTAAAATTTCTTAATAGGATCAGATACTGTGTTGAAATAGAGTTGTCCTCTGATAAGCTACTCTTACCCTGGCTTTGGGCAGCAAAGCAGGGTTCATTCTTTGATTACCATTTTACTTCTAGGAGACTTTATACATCTGACATTTATATTCCCTAAGAGATCCTGAGAAACTAAGTAAAATCCAAAATAGTTGTCAATATAATTCTTGAACACTGTCTCCTGCTGAACAGACACCAGGGGACACAGGCCCTCTTGACAGCTGAGTGAATCAGAGGGTTTTTCCTTTGGTCTTTTGTCAAAAACCATCATGAACAGTATATCACAAAGGAAAAGGTGGCTTACCATGTTGACTCCAAAGTTCTTGCCCAGTAGAGAACCATTTCTTTTTGGTCGACAATGTCTATGCACAAGTCGAACCCACTAAGGTATCACAGCAGTTGGTCATTTTCTTTTCTAGGGAACTTCCATAGGCAAATGTCCAAAGAACAAGTTATTTAAAGGTTACATAGAATTGGAGCTACAGCTTCGAGAATTTGACAGATGCCGGAAGCTTTATGAAAAGTTCCTGGAATTTGGACCTGAAAATTGTACCTCTTGGATTAAATTTGCAGAATTAGAGACAATCCTTGGCGATATTGAGAGAGCCCGTGCAATCTACGAGTTAGCCATCAGCCAGCCACGCTTAGACATGCCAGAGGTGAGGATCTCAAATTGAGTATCATTTAGACACTTTTCTAGTATTATTTAAGATGACCATCTAAACGTGCATTTGAGAGCATAAAGAGCTAACTTCCAGTCTTTTCTACTCAGATGAGGACTTTCCTGTTTTGGAGATAGAAAGGCAGGGGAAGCAGCCCTCTAATTGTATACTAGAGCACAGCAATGCCCCCCATTATGACACCAGGCTGAATCAGAATATAATGGGTGGGTGACTGGCTCTCTTCCTCCCTTTTTCAAACAGGAAGCTAAATGGCATCAGATAGTTAAAGCAACAGGCAGCAGGCAACCCCATACAGAGATCAAGAGTGATGGAAGTTAAGACTGTACATCCCTTGATGCTCCTGGCACAGTTTTTTCCAGATTGGGCAAGTAAGAGAGGCTCTAAGTAAACCAGGATGTTCCTGAAATTACAGCTACTACTGTACTGGAAGTCCTGCCTTTGCAGGACCCAAAGTCATCCCTTCAATATTTAAGCTTGAGCCACAAGGTGGCGCCAAACCACAGCCGGGACTAACTTGAATCCAACAGGAACCACTGAACTCATTCAGCCATTTTGTTTATCTTGCACTAATATTCTTTCATTTAATGGTTCACTGGGCCCTCCCGACTGCATTAGGCAGAGATTTTTGTATTACTAGTTTGAGGCCAACTAGTCTGTTGGCCTCAGCTCCTCCACAGACTCCCAGCTCCCAGGAGCCCAGGCCACATGTTGCTCATCTTTGTGCTCTTGACAGGCTTATACATACTAGCAGTTCACTGAATGCTTTTTGAGTTCAGTGCAGACATATCAAGCGGTTACAGTGGAGGTAAAAATAGTATATACTGGCTAATCTAGGCTTGTTTTCTCCCTTCAAATTCGGTTGCATGTGGCATGATCGTGACAGTGCCTGGGAGACTTGTCAAATTTCTCAGCTCTTCTTGATAAGTCTAGCTTTCAAAAACTGCCAAAAAATCCAAAAATGAATCTAAAGCAACTAAGTTTGTGGCAGCTTATAAATGCTAATATTATTTATTTTATCCATATGCCACATTCTTTAATTGTTCGCCGAAGTCCTAGGTTCCTGGATTTCCTAGGTTGGAATAGTAGTTAAGCTGTGCTTTGGATAGGGACATGTTGCTTTTTGAATGTCAAGGCTGACCTGCTATCTTTCTTAGGTGCTCTGGAAATCATATATTGATTTTGAAATCGAGCAGGAAGAAACTGAAAGAACTCGTAGTCTTTACCGACGATTGCTTCAACGGACACAACATGTTAAGGTATCCTGTGCTTGCTGTATAGATTATCTTTGACTTTGCTCAAGTCAGCAATCCTGAAGAAATACTGTATTTATGTATTTTAAATTTTTTTTTAGAAAAAATACTTTTTTAATGATTTCCTTGCTTTTAGAGCAACCTGTTGTGAGTCTCAGAGGACTTTGGAATATTAAGTTTATACCAGGTCAATATTTATTCTGCATGTGAATAAACTGGATATCATAGGGTTGAATAAAAAGTTAAACTCTTCTCACGATTTGAAGACTGTATCAGACACCTACTTGGATATAGAAGCAGACTGCTTCAATATCAATATACTGAAGCATACAGTATATGTTATATTCTTTGGAATAAAAGAAATAAGCACATTAATATGTTCAGATGTTATTAACAAGAAATTTACTTTATTATTACATTATCGTAGTCTCAGTGACAAGGCTAATTTGGTTCTGCAATAATTTTTTTAAAGGTATGGATCAGTTTTGCTCAGTTTGAGTTGTCTTCAGGGAAAGAAGGAAGTTTAGCTAAATGCAGACAAATTTATGAAGAGGCTAACAAAACCATGCGAAACTGTGAAGAAAAAGAAGAGAGACTTATGCTGCTGGAATCTTGGCGAAGATTTGAAGATGAATTTGGAACTGCATCAGATAAGGAGAGAGTAGACAAACTCATGCCAGAGAAAGTCAAGAAGAGAAGAAAGGTCCAGGCTGATGATGGGGTAAGAACTGAATCCCTGGAACTGGTCATCCCATGTCAAATGAGCAGAAATGCATCTGACTTAGAATTTGTACTTTTAAATGGCTTTTCAGTGTACAATCTGAGAATGGGAGCAGATAGCCTGGGGTAGGAGACAGTTGCAATCTGGCTAATGTGGAAACAGAGTGTATGGCCCACCCAAGGTGGAGAGTGGGAAAGTGTTGGCAAAGGCTTCTTGTAGGAACTACGTGACGTGTGGTATTTCAGGAGCATTAGGCACGAAGTCAGGATGGAGGGAAATGAAAATCAACTTTTAGTAGATAGGACCTAATGCAGAGAAGGCCTTGTAGGCTCTAAGAAGACTCTTAGGCACAAAATGACATGATCCAGTCATTGGCATCTCCTGCAGACAGACTTGGGAGGCTTGCAGGAGCACTTATTGGGAGGCTGTTTAAGGATGTGGTAGTGGGAGCTGGAACTAGAGCAACCTTTAGAAAATGAAATTACTGATCCACTAGAGGTGGAGATGTTAGGGTACAGATTCAGAATAATTATGCAGATATATGGCTTTCACTATTGGGTAAATGGTAAGGTAAATCTTCAAAATTTTTAAATCTTACTGCCAGATGTGCTTATTAGATTTTTAGAATTTTTTTCCACCAGGATATTCTCTCTGAGCCATACTTGCAGCAGCACCAATTCAGCAACTACATGTTCACTCCCAGTCTTCAAGGTCTGGCCCTTGTTCTTTCTGTAGTAGACTTTGATGTTGTTTTGTAAAATGAAGATAAATTGAATTTGAACTCTTGGATTCCCAGTGAAAATTCTCCACTTTAACTGAAATGTATTTCAGCAACATTTGCTTACCTTTTAATTGCTTTACTTTTTTCCTATAGTCTGATGCAGGCTGGGAAGAATACTATGATTACATTTTTCCGGAAGATGCTGCCAACCAACCGAACCTCAAGCTCCTGGCCATGGCCAAACTTTGGAAAAAACAGCAACAGGAAAAGGAGGCTGCAGAGCAAGACCCAGATAAGGACGTGGATGAGAGTGAAACCTGATCTTCTTGTTCATGTTGATGGTTTTATTATTTTTATAAATTAATAGTTTGTAACTCTTGTGACTCAAGTTTTTGTATATTTCACCACTAATGAACTGACTGAAATCTTTGGCAGCTACTTTTTGAATTATTTTTAAAATGCTCGAGGGGTAGTTAGCAGGAGGGGGTAAAGAATTTTTTTTAACTGCTGGATTTTTTTGACTGAATCCAAATATTTTTTTGTCTACATAATACATTATGAAATCTAAGTAAGGTAATGTTTAGCACCCACTTTAGAGGGAAATGCAGGCTTTTGAAAGAACTTTGTTCTAGAAGTTTTCAAGTTACATTCTATAGGAACTTTTAAGGTGTAGTTTTCTCATGATTGTCTTTTTCATAGAAATACTTTATGCATTTATCTGAAACGTTTTTCTTTCATGTCTTTAGAGTCACGTTAACTTGAGTTCCATTCTCAGCTCCACTTAGTGATAAATAATTCAACCGTTTTTAGTTTCTCCACTCAAAATGAGCTAACACTTTGCCCAGCTCATTTTGAAGATTAGATGACAACTATACCTAATGCATTAGTAAGTGCTCAATGAAATGTTCATTCCTTATAGAATTGAACGTGCTTAGATTAACTTCCCAAATTCTTACTTTTATGTCCATTTATACTAAATGCTTTTCAAAACATTAGTTGGAAAATAATTTACAGTGAGTATATTTCTGAACAAGGTCTTTTTTACCAAGAACATTATTAGTCAAATTTCAAGTTATGCTCTAATTAGTTTCCCAGACTGTTAGGAGCTCTGTAGTGGCTTATTTAAAAACCAGTCATATGTCTGCCATGAAAATGATGTTTCATACTCAAGTTTGGGAAACCCTAGATTAAGGGTTAATTAAGCCTTATTAGTGACATCCCTTACAGGCTTCTCAGAGTCTTTGATGTGCTACTATACATATGAATTACCAATGACAATGCTGGCATGTTCCCCAAACTTACTGGGCAAGGGAGTCATTTATACCTAGTGCACCAATAAATAGAGTAGAAAATGTCTGTCCATAATACCTTACACATTAAACTTACTCCTGCTTTAGCACATGTGAAAAACACCCAAGGTAACTAATTTGCTAAATGTAACTTAAATAGCATACGAAGGATAATGTATTTGATGATACGTTACATTCTAAAGCAAAAACTATTTGCCTTAAATGACCTGCGATGGTTTCCTTTAATCCGGCCTACATTTCTCAAACCTATCTTTTCTTGTTCTGTTCACTGCCCAAGCTACTGAGCCTGAACTATTTATCTTCAAGGCTGTTTTTCACCTATAAGAACGGTTAGCAAATCTATTATTGGTAAATTTAATTGGACAAATTATTAAATTTGCAAATATATAATTCACGCAGGAATAAAAGCTAGTCAATATGTTATTAAATTTTATCTTGAAAGTAAGGTAGTTTTTGAGGGCATAACAAAATAGGCCTGTTAGGATAAAAGAGAAACCTGTTTTCAGCCTCACTGGTTTAGTTATTAGATCAGTATCAGCAGTTGTGGTGTCAGGTTCTGACTGTTGAGTGAGGTCTGCCCTGATCAGTGAAGAGGGACCTTTGTGATTTTAACATTCTTCGGCAAAAAGTGCAGAGTCAAAGAGTGAGATGAAAACAGGTCAAAATGCTAATTTTATGTTGCTTCTATGTGTAAGAAAAAAAAAAAATGGTGATGTTTTCAATGCAAACTCCTTTAACACTTCCTGGGATGTGCCATGAAGGAAAATGCATGAAGGAAAAAGTTACTCTCTCATGGTGGAACATAAAGGATTCATTTCTTTCTTGTTCACCCTCAACTCTATCAAAATAAATCTTTTCAAAAGTAAAGCTTTTTAAAATCATTCTGTGGGTTTTTCTTTAGCTAAGTTACTTCTTTTAGTCAATATTTTCAGATTATTACAGGTGATTAAAATTACAAATGAGACTATGTGGTTGGCCTATGATCTAGTTACATGGCCTTTAGGAATTAAGTTCTTTTTATATTTTGAAAGGTAGGATTTAATTAAAGTATTTATGGGACAAAACAAAGAAAGAATCCAGGACTAACAATATGAAAACAAGTAACTGGGAAGAATTTATTTTGCATTAAGAAGGAAGCTTAAGTGTGCCAGACAGGGATTGTATCAAGTATACATTTTTAAAATGTTTTATATATAAACCAAAAATTTAATGGAGAAACAATATATCCTAAATGATGCTTTCTCAATCCTAATTTAGTTTTACAAACTTCCAGGAAACATTTATAGCATCAACAATGCATTTTATTATACATCTTAGATTTAGCATTTCATATATGCTTTTAAAGCTTCAGTCAATAGTTCAATACAAAATAAAATATATATATATTTATCTATATATACACAGCAGTGGTTCTCAGGCATAGAATTTAGGAGATTAGAACAAGCTTTTTTCCCTAGCATATTATGAACCATGATAGTAGAGCTGCTTCCTTCTGACCTAGCTGCCTTTCTGATTGAATTTTATCACAGTGGACAGCTTTAGTAGGTTTGATATTGCTAACTGGAAACAATGAGATTTAAAGTATTTTCTTGAAATCTTTAAGACCTAAATGAATATTTTTCTCTAACAGAGCTCTAAGATCATCCAATGAAAATAGTATTGTACATAAAATATCTGGAGCGTCAGCCTAAGAACCACTGCCCAGGGTTATTCAATGTCTTCAGGCCTCACAGGATGAGGTAATGGTATGATGGATTTCTTTTCAGTGTCCCTGGAAAGTGCTTTCCTCATATCTGTTAGGAAGCAAAGTTTAATGTAAGTAAGTATCCAAATTTCAAACCATTTTACATCAAATTTAAAGTATACAGGCAAAGTTCCCAGAAGAGGTTTTGTCCCCAGCCCCACTTTCACTAGATTCTAAGAGAAATGTTTTTATATAAGTGAGACTCAATCACCAGGAACCAGGTGCTAACCAAACCCCAACTAGGATTCAGCTCTTAATACAAATGTTCTTTTGACAGAATCCTAGTAAAAGAACATGGCTATAATGTAGTAAGACAATAATTGACAGTAATTAGCCATTGCTTAGTTAATGTAAGTGGAATAGTGATAGGTTTGTGAAGGCAAGTTAAAGGAAATTTAAATATTATAGATCAAATTTAAAACATTATGTCCAACCAATATAATTCCTTTAAGTTTATTAAAATAATTGAATATTTCAGTCTTTAAAATGAATGTAAACGTTTGGCTTCCTCTTGGGGTTTCTGCCAGAGAAGGGAGCTTACCATAAGCGTCCTCGTCAGGCTCCCCGTTGCTGGCTGAATAGTATTCTATGACCGTCCTGTATACACTGTAGCCCAACTGCTTGTACATGTTGACTGCAACTTGGTTAGATACTCTTACAAAGAGGTCAACAAAAAATCCACCTTTTCTTTAAGTTTTTTTAAAAAAAGGAAAATGTTAGAATGTGAGAATGTAGAAAATAACAGGTACATTTTTTTAAAAAAACAATAGTTGATTTTACTTTGTTTCCTACTCACAAAATGATAGTAATAGGACTCTGCAGCTGATTACATCATAAATCAATCTTTTTAATATTGCTGAGACCTTATGACAATTACTTCACTATATAAAAAGGCAACTTTCTATCTGCATGCTAATATTCAAAACGTACAATACATATTTTCTTAAACTATGAACTTTTTAAAAAGCATTTTTTAGGTCACAGTTCTGCTAACTGGCTTAAAAAATTGCTGTGCATTTTATGTCATAGTAACTGATATGCTCTTTTTACCAAGTAAGTCATATAATACTTTCATTCATATGCACAAAGTAAAGATTTTGAAGCAAGCACCAGGGCAGCCATGGCCCAAAAGTAGCTGTAGGAAATTGGTCACAGCTCTGAAGGCCTCCGGTTCCTCTCTACCCAGAGATTACCATGTCCTGACTCTCATAATCATTAACTCTTTGCTTTTTGCTATAGATTTGCCCCTATTATCGTTCAGTTTCTCCTGTTTATCATACTTTATTCTTTAGTGATAGGCGTCTCAGTCAGTATTGTTCAAGTCAGCCAAGGTATAGCTGGAGTTTGTTCATCTGCATTTTATTTAGCATTCCATTATAGGGATATATACTACAAATTGTCCGTGGTTCTACAGAGAAACATTTCCAGTTTTTACTATTACAAACTATGCTACAATTAATATTTTTGTTGTGTCTCATAGTACAATATCTAAAGTCTATAGCTAGGAACATCATCACTGGCTCACAGGGGTAGGCACATCTTCAACTATATTAGATACTGTTTCTCAATCTACTTAAACCACCTTACACTCCCACAGAAGTGGATAAGACTCCATTACCATAGTACCAAAGCTTGTTGCATCAGACTTTATTTTTGAAAATCTTAATGGTACAATGCTATCTCAGGGTATTAAAACTTTGGATTAGTAACAAGGCTAAATATATTTTTGCTGAACATTTAGATTTCCCATTCTGGAGTCCTTATTGATCTCTTGTATTTTCTTCTCCCTTACACTATAGTTCTGTGTATTCTGGATATTCAACATTGTGTTAAGGAGGTCACAAATCTTTTTTTTTCCAATTTGCATGTCTTTTCCCAGTTTGTGGCTCGTATTGTCATTATATTTATATATCCTTTTTTTTTTTTTTTAATCTTCACCCAAGGAAATGCTCACTGATTCTTAGAGAGAAGGGAAGGGGGAAGGAGAGAGAAACATCAATGTGATAAAGATCAATCAGTTGCCTCTCATATGTGCCCTGATGAGGGATCAAACCCGCAACCTTTCATGTATGGGATAACACTCCAACCAAGCCACACCAGCCAGGCATCATTATCCTTATATATCTTTTGATGAACAAAGTTACTTCACTTCAATGAACTTATTAAACTTCTTTTATAGTTACCATTTTTTATGGCTTGTTTCAGAAGTTCTTTTCTACCTTGAGGTCAGTAGACACTCTCCTATATTAACTTCAAAAGGCTTTTTAATTTCCTTTTCACATCTAAGTTTTTAATAAATCTGAGATTTGTGTATAGTAACAGTAATCTGGGAAAAAATTTTTTCCCATATGGATATCCAATTGTGCCACCACCTTTACTGAAAATTGTATCCTTTCATCACTCATCAATTGCTGCCTCTGAGGTATGTAAAAATCCATGTATTCCTGGATCTGTTTCTCAGTCTGTTCCACTGTGCTAGACAACTATTCCAGCCCTAACACACAGTCTTACTCATTACAGCTTGGTATTTGAAGGGGCAAATCTGCCCATTTTGTTGTTCAGGAGTACATTCTCTTTTTGGCTCTTACTATTCCCCTGTAAGTTTCAGAATCAACTTGGGTCCCACAAAAAACACTTGAGAGTTTGACTGCTACTACATTGGCTCTGTGAACCAATTATCAAGTCCTAGTTTATGCTACAGCAGTAGTTTACATCTCTATTTAGATAGGTCATCTTTAATGTCTCTCAATAAAGTTTTATGAACTTCAGAGGTCTTGCAGCTTTTGATAGATTTTTCCAACAACTTTGCTTAATTTTCAGTCTAAACCAGTCATTTTCAACTAGTGTACCATAAGATTTTTTAAAACATGCTATACCTAACTTTAATCGGGGTACTGACCTCTTTTCTCTTACACTGTCAAGTAAAAAAAAAAAACTGACAACAGCCAACACAATAGTAGCCACCTATTTTTTTGTAAGATCAGCAAAAAATGTATTTTTCGGTAGGCCACAGAATTTAGTAATTAGTTTACCTATGCCATAAGATGATGGTTAAAAATCACTGGCATAAACATTCACTTATAGATTCTTGTGGGTTTTCTATTCGCATAATCTTATCAGTGCAAAGTAAATATTTCTTCTCAATCCTCATTATCTTTTATTTTTCTTGGTTTATTGGTCATGTCTAGTATTTCCAGTATATTACTGAAGAGGGGTGGGCTGTAGGTATCTTTATTCCAGATTTTAAAAGGAAAACATTTAATGCATTCCCATCAGTGTTTACTACAGGTTTTTTGTAGATACTCTTTTTTCAGTTTAAGGAAGGTCTGATTTTCTATTTCCTAGTTTGCTAACAGTTTTTAATCAAGAATGAATACTGAATTTTATCAAAGCATTTTCTGCATTTACTGAGATAATAATTCTCCTTTAATCTTTTACAGTGGTAAACTCTCTTTATGCTGGTAATTACTGAACTATACTATTATTGTTCATTTAAATATACCAACTGTCTTTTGATCAGAATTTGCATAATTTTAAAAATTCCTTTTACTTTCAACCTTTCTGTATCTTTAATATTTACACATAATTCCTGTAAATAGAGTTCTGACAGTCTCCTTTTTCTTCAATTTTATTTCCTTTTTAATTCATTTTTATTTCATAACACCATGAGATCTTAATATACTGTGAATGTACAATGTTATTGCTGACTACAGGTAGAATGTGTACAGCCGACTCTAGAGCTTATTCATCTTACTTAACTGAAACTATGTCTGCTGATTAGTAATTACCCACTTCCCCCAGCTCTAGTCCATTCCATTCTTTAATTCTATGAATCTAATTATTTTACATTTCTCATGTGAGTGGAATCATGCAGTATTCTGTAACTGGCTTATTTCATTTAGCATAATGTCCTCAAGTCTTTGACTTTTAATTGGAGTCATTAGTCCATTAACATTTACTGTTGTAATTACCAAAAATATCTGGATTCGCAACTGCCATCTTATTTCATGCTTTTTATTTGTTTTGTCACTTTCCTTTTTCTCTCCTTTGAATTGATTTCTGTCATTCAAGTTTTCTCTCTACTTATTTGTTTGGAAGTTATACACTGTTTCTATTTTTAATGCATACACTTAAAAATACATGTATCCATGCATGCATACATGGATATAGGTATACATACACACCCATACAAATAAAGATCACTTAAATCTTAGATATAAGAACTAGAGTTGATTTCTTTTTCAGCTAACACTATTTCCTCTCTTCTCTAAATAAGCTTGAGTTCCTCTTGCCATCAGCCTGGCTAGGAGAATTTTCAAGCCATGGTTACTTCTTTAAAACTTACTAATGGACTTACGGCCTTACTAAGTATAAAGCCTCACAAGTGCATCTCAGCAGCTAATTCCCTTTCCTACATACTTCTCAGCATTTAAAATACAGGAAAAAATGGCAGCTTGACAATCGGTTAAACTTATACACACACCTCTTATCTCTTCTAGAAGAGGCTGGCAGGAGGGGTCCTCTTTTCATATTACTTGTATTACTTTTACTTCACATAATAAGGATGTTTAATATATACAACAGGTCTTTTTTTAAAAAAGTCTTAATGTTGGCAGTTTCCAAAACTACTCCAGGGTGCCCAAAACTCAGAGGTGCTGTAGAATATTTCAATTCTTTAGAGAAAACACAGACAAACCTTACATATCAGACACTAGCAAGCTACTAGTTTTTGACGTAGTTCAAAAACACAGCATTACATCATGTTACATTCCTTCTGATGACAATATCTTTATGAAGCCAGGTTTTTGGCAGTTCCCATGATTTAAAAAAAAAAAAAACATGAAAATCAAGGTGAAATAGGAATGGAGGTGATTGTGTCCATCTGTTTCCAAGGTTTGAGATGTCATACAATACTCAACAGGTACATCAGATGATAACCACAATTATTTGATGATGAAATAAAAATACTTTTTCTGTTGTTTTTTATTTTTCCTAAACAGCTACTTGGTTGTTAGGATATGAATACTTATTAAGTAATTAGGACATAGTTGATTATGCTAAACTATTTCCTCTTGGCCAAGGGGCACTGTGAAACATTATTAAGATGCCAAGGGCAATGTGATTTTGGGAATATCTACCAAAGTGGCAAGAACACTAAGAGTAACCCTGAGGACTAGTCTTCAATTCCACCAATTACCCAGCTTATAAGCCTACGCAGGTCACTTACTTTGCCTTAATTTTCTTCAAAGACAAAATAGAGACAATAAGACCATTCTGAATATGTGACACAACTGTTGTGAGGACTATGGGAGACCAAAAATGAAATTCCTGTAAACTGTGATGCATAATTTATTCAGCCTGAAGGGGGAAAAAAGCCTTATAAATGTTCACAGAAAGAAAAATCAAATGGTCAGGGTCCACAAATTATTAGAAAAGCAGGATCTCACCTTTCGGAAATCTCCTCTAGTAACTCCATAAGTTTAGCAGCCAAACCAAGGCGTCGAAATTCTGGGGCAACGGACAGAGCTGTGACATGCCCATGCCATTCTTCCCTAGCAACTGAGCCTTCAGCTTTACCCATTACTGTCAACAAAAGATTGCATTCATTAATAAACACATGGGTTTACACATAAATATAGAATTAACTGGTACATTTTTATTATAAAGAAAATGAATGACAAAGTTTTAATTTATAGAAGGGATCAGTGAATTGTCTAATGGTTGAAAAAGAAAGACAATTATAGACATCATGATCATATTTTCAGTTCTTTATCAATTTACATCAGTTGAAACCTATATTAAAATCTTAGCTACCTATCCAAAGAAGTGATAGTGGTATTATACTTACTATAACCCATTAACTCTCCACCAGGTGCCTCTGCAACGATGAAATACTCTGGCCAATGGGCGAGGTACTGTAAGTAAAAAGGAATCCCATACTAGAGTCTTGTTAAGGAGTGTCAAAATGATGGAGATTAACAAGTATCCCTTCTAAAAGGGATATTTTAAAGAAGTTTCCTTTAAAAAGTATGTTGTTACTTTATCCCTAGCCCTATACATGTGTGGTTTCTATAATCGTATCATTATGTGAAATATTTAGGTTATCACTAATTTTTAACAATTACTTGAACATATAACATCAAATGTGAATGGAGACAACATCTAATAGAAAGCAGAGAACCCGGACTCCAAAATCTGTACTCTGTCTCCCCACTGACCACGCAGTATCCTAAATCTCGGCATAGCACTTATCCTCACCTGATACTCTTATTCGCTTACCATCTGCCTCCTCTTAGACTATGAGTAATGTTCTCTCTATCCCTGGAGCTTGCCACATAGATGCTCCATATGTTTATTTTTCCATAAGTGTAGGAAAATTAATGACTGGTTTGTACTTTAGCTTCAGCTATGAGACTGAGAGTAACTAAAATTGAGTACTTCCTAGTTGTGTTTTATTTGGTAAATGATGAATTGATATAAATTTGTACAATTCATGTATATCGACTGTGGCAAAGTTGTACAGATTCCTATATTCTGGATGAGAAATTTTTCTTCTCTCTGTGATGAACTGCTCATCTTGGAAACAAAACAAAAAACACTAAGTACTTCCATAGGCAACTTTGAACAATTACTCAGTCCCCCCGCTGGACCCCGCCAACTCAAATTTTCCATTTTTAATAATGCAATTAAAACTGACTTAAGAGTGAATGCCTGAATAATTTGTTTATTACTTAACTTTTCAGCTCTTTTGTCCTTACTGATATGTACTCATTCCTTTATTTCTTAGTGTAAGCTTGCTGATCCAGTTCTACAAAGGGACACCATCAATCATATATTTTTTAAAAAAAGTTCCTGGAAAGCCTGTTCAGTAGATTCTTCAAACGCTCCTCTAAGGACAAGCTTTATTTTTAGTACCCTACAAACAAAACCCCTAAAATGACAGGCCAGCAAGTCTTCCTGCTGTGCAGCCCTAAAACACACCATAACTGTCTCTCTTCCAGCTAATGCAGAAGACCCAGAAGCTCATTCATCAACTACTAGGATCTGGTAAGTTACTTTCAAATATGGCTTCACCTGGATTATGAACCTTTTACTGTAAATTTTACAGGTAACTGGCTGTACAACATATAAGTTGATTTGCATCTTAACATTTTCCCTTACTGTGCAGTGAAAATTTCTCTGTCATTCAGAATATTTCAGAATCCTTTTCCTTTTTATGAAACATGGAAAGGTCTTTAATAGGTCATAGTTTTAAAAACATAAGTGAAGACTTAGGAGATTTTTTCCTTTTTCCACTCTTTTTTTTTATATGTAGTCCACTTGTCTTTGCCTCCAGTTAATTTTTACTGCTGTACAGTATTCCATTGTGTGAAAAGACTAAATATGCTATCTCTTGACAGTGGACTTCTGGGTTGTTTCTACTTTCTCAAGAACTTTTAAAAATCCTTTATGAATACAAAATAATTTATTTAGCTGTTTCCTTACTGTTGTATATAAATGTTACCCCAAACTTTTAATATTATAATTCTGCAATAAATATTTTTATAATGACATAACTAAGAGGTTAATAAACATTTTCTGTAAAGGGCCAAATAGTAAATATTCTAGGCTGTGCGGTCCATATGGTCTCTGTTGCAATTACTCAGACTGGGAAAGGCATGGACAAAAGCCACAGATAATAGTAAGTTACTTAGTATAGCTGTGTCACAATCAAACTTTATTTACAAAAACAGGCAGTGGGTCAAGTTGGCCCATGCACCTTAGTTTGCCACACCCTGACATAACTGCCTCCATTATTACTTTCCACTTCTAGGAAATGGAATTACTAAGAATGACATTGCCAAAGTGCCTTGCAGAAAACTATTGCAGTTTATATCTTCACTAGCACTTTATGAGAATATTCCTGTAACTTCACCCTCATCAGCACTGAGTTTTCTCATTTTTTAAAATTCTTGATAATTTGATAGATAAAACATCACATTTCATTTTGGTTTTACTTTGAATGTCTTTTGACTAGTAAGACTAAACTCCTAATATGTTCACTAGGCTCCTATATGCCCTCTTTTATTAAATTATCAGTTAATATTACCATCCTACCCTACAATGGATATGGATAACCCAGAAATCCAACTCTGAGAATCTGGTGTTGTGCCTGTTAGGGTAACATAAACCAGAGTACCCTAACTTCACATCTGCCCATTTTTCTATTGGGGAACATGAGAGATAGTGCTAATTGTTACCCAAAATCTTCTCTACTTGAGTAACAAGCCCCAATTTAAAGTTAGGCACATTCTGGGACTTGTAGATAAAGTGTAGCAGGAGGCAGGTGCTGGGCAATGAGATACAGAAGGTCTATGTAGCACTTCCCAGAGGTACGCCTGAGAGGGAAGGACACTCTCCACCTCCCCTCTGTTGATCCTCCTGCCAGGAATATGGCTGTGATGCCATTTGCTCTGGAAGCCATGGGATAAGAAGGTCAAGGCCACGCTGGGAATGGCAGAGTGGTTCAAGTACAGAACCTGGTCACTGGTGACTACATGGAACCACCACCTGACCTGGACTGCTCATCATTTCCAAACTTCATTCGCAACAAAAAGAAATAGCCCATCCTGCTGAACTCACTACTTTCTGTTGTGTACAGTCATGCTTACTACAGAGAGGAAAGCTGGGCAGGGAGGCTAGCTGTATAGTTACAGATTTATGAGGTTATTGTATTAGCAGCTTGTCAGGCAGGTTTAAGACAACTCTTGTTCCAAGTTGTTTTTGTAAATTGCTTTCAAAGTTGCTTACAATGCTTACTTACCTACAAGTTTTAAAGTTTTTCAGTACTTGTCTATTTTCTCCCTTTGTTTCTCTGTCTCCCTCACTCTGAGTAAGCCTTCACTTAACTTTTTTTAAAAAAGGATACAGTTTCTGTAAGTGGATCCAAGTTACTGAAAGAAATGAGAAATGTCAGTAGTAAGCAGTGTTTACAAAACCAGTTTAAATAAACCCATTAAAAATTTTAAAAAAAAATGCACAAGGAAATCAAAACATGCTAAATCCACTTTAAAACCAACTTTAGGGCTAAGGAAGATGGTTTAAATTACATAATCACAATACCGCAAAATGATAGTTGCAAATTTTTTTATTGTGATGAGAACTTTTAAGATCTACTCTTAGCAACTTTTAAATATGCAATAGTATTATTAATTATACTTACTGTACTATCCACTACATGCCCATGACTTAATTTATTTTATAACTGGAAGTTTTGTACCTTTTAACCCCCTTCACCCATTTTGCATGAATAACTTTTTTAAAAATTTGTATGCAACCACAACAAAAGACCCCAAAGAGCCAAAGTAATCCTGAGAAAATTAACAAAGCTAAGTTTGTTAATTTTATGTCAGTATCAAACTCCCTGACTTCAAACTATACTATAATACTACAGTAATCAAAATAGTATGTATGGCATTGGCAGAAAAACAGACACACAGACCAGAATTAAGAGCCCAGAAATAAACCCACACATATATGGGCAACTAATTTTTGACCAAAGAGACAAGAATATACAAAGGAAAAAGGAAATGGGGTTGGTAAAACTGAAGAGCCATATGCAAAAGAATGAAGCTACACTACTATCTTACACCATACACAAAATCAGCTCAAAATGGATTAAAGATTTTAATGTAAGACCTGAAATAATAAAATACATAGAAGAAAACATAGACACTACACTTATAGACAAAGGTCACAGAAGTGTTTTCGTGAAACTGATTTCAAATGCAAGTGAAACAAAGCAAAAATAAATTAATGGGCCTATGTCAAACTACAAACTTATGCAAAGCAAAAGAAACCATCAACAAAACAAAAAGGCAACCTACCAAATGGGGGAAGATTTAAAGAACTCATAAAACTCAACAACGGCCCAGGGCTGGTGTGGCTCAGTGGACCCAGCACCAGCCTGAGAACCAAAAGTCAACAGTTTGAGTCCCAGTCAGGGTACCCCGGGTCCCGGGACAGGTCCCAAGTAGGGGCCACATGAGAGGCAACCACACCTTGATGTTTCTCTCCCTGACTCCCTCCCTTCCCCTCTGTCTAAAAAAATAAAATCTTAAGAAAAAACAACCAAAACTCAACAACAACAAAAATCCAAGCAAAGGACCTGAACAGACACTGGTTAACAGACATGTAACATCACTAGTTTTTAGGGAAATGCAAATTAAAACCAGAATGAAATATGACCTCTCACCTGTTAGAATGGCTATTATCAAAAAGACAGTATGTGTTGGAGAGGGTGTGGAGAAGAAGAAACCCTCCCACACTGTAGCTGCAAATGTAAATTAGTAGAGCCACTATAGAAAACAAAACAAAAAAAAATCCTCAAAAAATTTATAACTACCATATGATACAGCGATTCCTCTTCTGGGTATTTACCCAAAAATGTTTATGCATAAAGATATAATTGCCCCTATTTTCACTGCATTATTTATAATAGCTAAGATAAGGAAACAACCCCAGTGTCCACTGATGGATGATTGGACAAAGATGATGTGATATGTACGTAAAATAGAATACTACTCAGCTTTAAGAAATGACATATCGCCTTTGTGACAACATAGATGACTCTGGAGAGTATAATGCTAAGTCAGCTGGTCATAGATATAGACAACAGAATGGTGGTTACCAGAGAACAGGGTGGGGAAAGGGCAAAGTGGGTAAAGGGAGTCAGATATATGGTGACAGAAGGAAACTAGACTTTGGGTGGGGAGCATGTAATAGAGTACACAGATGTCGAATGCTGTACACCTATATATATATGTTATATAATGTTATTAACCAATGTTATCCCAATTAATTTTTTTTTAAAGTAAAATCAGGTTAAAATGATCAAAGCCTAACAGCAGAAAAGAGGTCTTTCAGGTTGTAGAAGCAGGCAAGATCAGCCCCTCTTTTGGTAGGAGGGTGAATAAAAACACCACTTTGATTCTGCTGCCATGTAGAAAGACCCTTGTTATAAATATGAATATGGCTTAAGGGAAAGGGAGGTGAATACTAAGTTCCTGTTATAGGCTAACACTAGGCTCAGCACTTTCTCTGAAAGATAACTTTTTCATTAAAAATAAACAATTAGAAGACAGACATTTATTATCGATGCTTAGCCAATAGAATTAATGATCACATTACAAGATCAATAATTTTTTAAAAGCCATTTAAAAAAATTTTTCTGTATGAAATTGCCAATATTATTGACAAAGAGAGAGAGAACTGTAAAGTAAAAAGTGATGTTCAGTTGTGGTGTGTTACCTAAATGAGCAATGTGAAGGCAAGTATAATCACCGAACTTGAGGGACTAGGATGGTGTTGCTTTGGGGGCATCCATACTTAACATTCTTCATATATAATTGCATTGCCAAAGACTAATTATTTCATCATGTATTATAAACACCATGTTTCCCCAGATCCACCATAAAGCTACATGATGTATTAAAAAACAAAACAAAACACTTTATAAAAAAAATGTCATGATACAAATGGCATTGTTTTAACAATTTTACAGATCTTTTTAATGTCTGGCCTAATAGAAGACAACTGGATTCTCATATCTGTCTGTTATACTTGTTGTTGTAAGGTCATACATCTGGAAAACACCACTATGCACTTGTGAGAGTGTAAGAGTGGAAAAGGCAAAAAAAATCACCTTATCATCAAAATAGCTCTGACCTCGCAGAGCCCAAGGCACACCTGGAGAATCACTTGCTCTAACATATTCTCACCTGTTGCCTCAACTCTCCAACAGGCCACCCCCCTTCTTGATTTCAGCTGCTTTCTATTTCACAGAGAAAATACAACAGTAAGAAGAAAGCTTCACCAAGCTCCCACCACCAAACCCACCCACCTATAAGCTTCTGCACCCTTACTCCACTACTTGTTCTCCTGTAACATGCCTGGAGTTCTAGTAAACCCATCTCACCACCTCCACTTTCCAGGACCCTGCTCCTGCAATTCTCCACTCCCTTCTGGAAGAAATGTACAAATATACTTTACAATTAGCCATCAACAGTTCCTGGCATAGTTCCCCCTCCCTCCACCTGAAAAACTTGCAACAGTTAAGCTTCCAAGACCCTACCATCAGGTTTCCTCCCACCTCACTGGGCCACTAGGTCTTCACTCTAACACTTGATTGATGCCCTAGGGCACCATCTGAGTCTTTTTTTCTACCTACACTCACACCATCACTCCTGTCACTAGTCTCCAGATTTCAATACCACAGTGCTGACCCCAAATTTCTATCTTTAGCCCAAAACTAAACATGAGACTTCCATGCCCAGATGCCTACCTGGCTTCTACACCTGGGTATCTCAGCGCTCTTGGCAGAGAATCCCACGTCCTATGATGGCCTCTCCAAGATCTAGCCCTTTGACTGTGATATCATCACCTCACACCCACTCTCTTTCTGCTCCAGCCACACTGGACTACTCTTTCTGTCTAAAAGGTATCTGTTCACTTACTACTCTCTCTGCCTGGAATTTCCCTGATCCCAATATCAATATGATTCACGCCATCAACTCTGCTAGGTATTTCTTCAGTGACACCTTCCCTAACACTCTACCTAAAGTTGAATCCTCACTCACTTCCTATTTCCCTTTCCTGCTTTCATATCTCCTTTGTAATGAACACTAAGTTCTGAATGTATTTACGTATTTTATTTTCCTCTCTAAAATGTAAATTCCATAAAGATATTTTTTTTCCTGTTCACTGGTACGGCTGCATAAATAGTTACACAAATAATTTTCCAAGGATAAATAAAACACCTGTTAAATTAATTCTAATGTTTCTACATCCACTGCTTCTTTCCACTCTAGCTGCAACACCCTACTCCAATGATTCTCAGAGTTCTCTATAGAAATGCCCGAATCCAAGTGAGAATTAGGATGAAATGGGGAGGAAGAGGAGTTCCTCTACTGGCATACTCTTAAGAGGCCTTGTTAAGCAAAATGATTCTTTGAAATCTAATGTTTTATTGCACATATTCATGCTTATTTTCCTTCTTTCTATTCATTTTCACATAAAATAGTGTTGTCCCTTCCCAGATCTTCAGTTAAAACTGATTCTCCAAGAGACTTTGCCTTTTCTATTCTTGAAGTTTCAAAACACACTGTCACCTCCCAGGCCGGCACCTCCCAAACCCAAGCCTTAGTTAAGTCGTAATCTCTGGGCCATTGCCAACACTTTCTCAGTGGCCTACCTGCCTGGTATACCTTCTCTAATCTCCTCCTATTCCACACAGTTCTATGTTGAAAAGTAGGTTCTCAAACAGCTGACAATATGCATTTCTAAAATGTTCCCCACTCTTTCAAGAACCACTGCTCTAGTGCCAATCTCCTAGTGCGAATTCCTTATTTGCCTCACTCCCACTACAAGGCTCTAACACACACGGGGGGCAGTTCGCTTCAGCGCTCAGTACCTTAATTTGCTCATACCCAAAATGGGGAAAATGAGACTGCCTACTCAGAGAACTGTGAGGATTAAATGGGCTATTACAGTGGCAACGCTGGGATCAGCTAGAGCTCAACACAAATTGTCTTAATTATGTTGCTTCAACTGGGAAGTGACCAAAAAAATTCTTCCAACAGGATCCAGTATAAACCCCTCAATAACAGAGCAAAAGTCACTTCACCATTTTCTTTCTGGCTACTCAGTTACATAAACCCACCACTGCAGACACACTCATCTCCCAGCTATCTGGCACGCCTCAAGTTTTCTCACTGTAACACCTCCTTCCTTCTCCAGAAATTCCTTTCTCGTGTTTATCAACATTTTGTCCATCCTTCAAAAGCTGATGTGGATGGATGGATATGTGATGAAGCCAATGTAGCAAAAACGTTAACTGAAAATTGTCAATGTTCAATGTTCATAAATTTTCATAATAAAAGGTTTTCTTAAAAAA